GATGTTATAGTACAGATTACTAGTCAGTGTAATTATCTCCTACTGTGGATGTTATAGTGCAGATTACTTGTCAGTGTAATTATCTTCTATTGCGGATGTTATAGTGCAGATTACTAGTCAGTGTAATTATCTTCTACTGTGGATGTTATAGTGCAGATTACTAGTCAGTGTAATTATCTTCTACTGTGGATGTTATAGTGCAGATTACTAGTCAGTGTAATTATCTTCTACTATAGTTATTAATGATCAAAATACCACAAAATATAATTATCTTGTACTATGGTTCTTAATAAAGTTTTAATTTTCTGCAACCCAGACCACCAGTGTAGCAAAATCGATAAAGATGAATGTATTATGATGTACAAGCGTCATGAGTTTATAGAAATGAAAGCTAAGAGAGTGAATACATAGAGATTCAATCACTCTGAAATAAATATTGGATATTTTTGTATATTTATTTAACAATGTACATGTAGGACATTGGAAAAAACAAACAAACTGATAACCCTCATTGTGGGAGTGTGTAAATAAATCATTTGTACAGATTATATTTTAGTGTAGTTTCAGCATATGCCACTAGGGGTTTCCACACTTTAGTGAGTGATAAAAGTATACAATGTTAAAACTAATTTTTTTAAAATTGAAATAATGGATTCCGTATTGTTTTCTTGTAATGAATATATGTCATGATATTATGCATGTCTTAGTGTTTTCTCTTAGCTAGTGATTTGGAAAATAATGTACATTTATATTGTTATAATGTGCTCTGTCATTGGGCAAGTTCTTTTGAATTATTTGTTGAAGATAATGCATAAATATATACAAAGTCCAGTCTATGTAATGATAATGATTTAATTTATTTCTTCTATAACATTTGCTTCAGGCTATATTCTCTTTTACACAAGTTGTAGGCCTAAGTTCACAAACAACGTTTCAACAGAAATTCCTCACTATTGATACCTACACCTAACTTACTTACTTTAATCAATAAACAACTATGTATGCCACTGAGTAACTGATGGAAGAATAGATATGATAATTCTCACTCTCTAACACTGAAGTGAAACACTCATTGAATACTTCACAGAATTCTCATTAACTTCGCTAACAGATTACTCATATTTAGAAATAATGTACCTTTATCTTGAGATATTAGATGAAGGTTCTTGATTATTATATTATCGTGGTTAGCAGCTCCCTATAGCAAACAACTAAATTATAACATTGAGAATATATCTTACAACAATATATTTCTTCTGTCTGTGTATGAAAAATATCTCTTTCACTAATGCATAAAACCTTACACCAGGACAACAGTCTTCAAAGTGGGGTCCTTGGCACTTGCTGCCTCAATCCTGATTGAAACGTCCAATTAGTCAACAAAATTGTTGGACTTAAACTCCGAGACTTTTGTTTTTAGGGACGAGCATAATTAAACGAAGTTTTTAGCAAGATGATAATGCTCTTTATTGGGTCATCAACAACGAAATATTTCATAATTCCAGAAATGCAGATCGGTATGAACTCTACCATATATATTGTAAATGTAGTAAATTTATGAAGACAAATAACTAAACATGATTATTGTTACCTAGTACTTTTCTGTGCAACAATTAATGTATAATGAAACACTGAACTCTACCATATATATTGTAAATGTAGTAAATTTATGAAGACAAATGACTGAACATGATTACTGTTACCTAGTACTTTTCTGTGCAACAATTAATGTATAATGAAACACTGAACTCTACCATATATATTGTAAATGTAGTAATTTTATGAAGACAAATAACTAAACATGATTATTGTTACCTAGTACTTTTCTGTGCAACACTTAATGTATAATGAAACAAAAAAAGAAACGTATTTGTGAAGAAAACTCATGGTAAAATATTTCCTTTAATTATTTGTCAAAACTTTCAGGCATTAGGTTTATTGTAGTTTAGGAGCACAATGTATGTTTTACTGAAACATGGAATTTAAAGTATGGTCTTATTGTGATCAGTGGAGATGGTGGCTGTAGGAGATTTTGGGTCTTAAGCAGAAATTCCACATGGACTGGTGTATGTGCAAGCAACACTGTACAATGCCCATACCCTACTAGCACTTCCTTTGTTGTGTTTTTTAATGAGATTTAATAAATTTTCTCTTATTTCAAGAACATGTGTGACACAAACTAAGAATTTTTACATACATGCAATATTAATGATTATTTTGCAAACTCCTGATCAGATATCCCAAACCCAGATGGCTTTGTTGAGTTGTTCCAAGGCAGTTGCCTAATTTTCCCATGCCTTGAGTTACTACTGAGTAGAGGAAAGCTCTTATAAAACATCCTTTGTCGCATTAGATAAATAGAATTGGTAAGGAAAATGAATGACTGTAACAACAGTAAAAGATGAATGATAATGTTTCTTATTTTGTAGATAGATCAGATGAACAAAATTGTTGAAGTATTGGGAATACCTCCCAGGCATATGCTAGAGCAAGCCCACAAGGCTCGTAAATATTTTGAAAAATTAACGGATGGAACATACACTTTGAGGAAAACCAGAGATATGAAGAATGTAAGTATCATTTGTTGTAACTGACTAAATTTACTTGAAAAGTAACTTTTCGTGAAAATTTACTGTTAATCTGTGTTCAAACATTAATAATTCAGGTGTGTTTATGAAAAACACAAATTAAAATGTGACGATATAATTAATGTAATAATTTTGCCAGTTGATTTTAATCCAGGTAATGAAAAAGAGAGAATAAACTAAAGTATGTTACATATGTTTTGGTAAGCATTAAGATAGAAATAATAATGCAATGTATTTTATTAGTATAAAAAACCAGGTTCGAAAAAGCTTCACGATATCTTTGGATGTGATACTGGTGGACCTGGAGGTCGGCGGCTTGGTGAGCCCGGTCATACAATCTCCGATTATTTAAAGTTCAAGGACCTAGTTTCCCAGATGCTGGACTATGATCCAAAGAAACGTATCACTCCTTACCATTGTCTCCAACACAGCTTTTTCAAAAGAACAGTAGATGAAAGCACAAATACATCTCCTGGCAGCAGCCCATGTCATGTCCTGGATCAATTTAGTCCAGGATCCGCAACTGTAGGAACAGGTTGTGGGTCAGGATCTAGTTCTGAAAGTTCTAGTATGTAATTTTTACTAAACAACTAGTTAAGTATTTTTGTTAAACATCATAAAAAGTGTAGTCTAAATGTTTTATAAGATATACTTTGCACTGGTTCATTTGTTATTTAGTTTAAACAAACAAGAAATTCATTCTTCTATAAAAATTATCGTTATTTTAACTGTTAGTATTTCATTGCTTTATTTAACATTTATAGAATAAAACCCTAAGTATGCCAAGCATGCACCTTGCTTCTTTGTAATTCTTACTTTCTCATGAACTTTTAAAGATCTTGATTTCTTAGACCCTTTGCTAAGGTTTAACAGTATTATAAACACAAGTATTTATTCTCCGTTTATAAGGCCCTTTATTGAATAATTTTGACATTTTCTCCTAATTTCAAAATTTGGATTTTTAGATAAACTAAAAAAATTTAATCCAAACATTTTTTTTCCTTAGTCAGTGCATGGAATGCTGAAAATTATATTTTTTATGTGTTTTTTTCCTAGATCTAAACTTGTAAGCTTCGTGTTTTAATGGTTGATTATAGAGATATTTAAAATGGATTGTATTTCCATTTTACTTACATAGTGCAATATTTAGTTCTCAAAAACAAGGAATCATTTTCACTCATTAAGGTAACATATGCATGATTTAAGCTCATTTGCTAACTATAAAGTAAAATGATCAGAGCTAGTAAAAAGAAAGAAAAACTTCAAAAAATAATCATTATATTTGTAAATGACTGATGAGAATAAATATAACACCAAGGAAAATATCTAACTTTCTCTTCTTTTTTTAGTTATTTAACTCATCTGTCATCCTATTTTTTTTTGTCCTTTAGGTTCTTCTGTTACGCAGTTGAGTGGATGGGTACACTCTGATTTGACGCATCAGTATGTTCATAAACAGCTGCAGCACAGGTATACACAGACTTCAGACTCAGATGCTGGGAAACATTCTGGTAACATTACTTCTCTTGGGTCCACAATGGACTGTGTCAGTCCAAGTAGTATGGGATTACCAAAAGGCCCAGTTTGGGTTCCTTCCTCAGGACTTGTGGGAAGCCAAGTTTGGGTTCCTTCCTTGGGACTTGTGGGAAGCCCGTCAGAGATAGTAATTTCTACACCAGTAGGTTCAGCTTCCGTCTGTCAGCGCTTAAACTCTAGTGCATCCTCAAATGGCCATGGTTTCTCTCATGTTCGTGGACAGAGTCATAGATTTCGAGGTAATCCGCATGTTCTATCCCATCAGTCACGTGGACAGGGCTCCTTAAGCTCCACATCTCATGTAATAGTAGGACTAGACTCTGTTCAGTCGTATCATTCTCAAGCAAGCTTAAACATTGCCTCCACCAGAGGGAGCCATGCAACATCTTCTGCTGTGTCTTCCGATATGGATTCAGATATCTTCACACGATCAGTGCCCATATCATTAGAGTGCACACAGACTAGTTCAGTAAACATGCAGCTAGGGAGCTACCAGCCTCTATCATTTTCTGGGGTTATGTACAGAGAACAAACGGTAGCTCCATCAGATTTCCACTCGGCAAACTTACCACATTGTTGTGTTACACCATCTTCAACAACTCCAACACAACCTTCAAGTTTATTGTCAACAGAGAATCCAATACACAGCTCAGGGAGTGAGGAGACTCCAATGGTTGGTGTGTGTGTGGAACAGTCATCTGTCTCAAGTCACTGACAACTAATTTTCAATAGTAAGGATTCCACTAACAAGTAAAATATTTGTGCTTGAGTTGCTGTGAGCTAATTTTTTTTATGTGGTTTGGACAAGGGGCAAAGCTTGACTGTGATCTCTCTGGACTTTTTTTTGTGTGGAACACTGAAGATTTCTTAGTACACGGACATTTAGAAAATACAAAATGTTGGTTCACAGATAACATACTATAAACTTTGTTCTCAAAAACTTCAAGATCTTGCTTTGTTGAACTAGTTAACCAGTCCTTGTCAGTATAATCAAGTTTCCTCGAGACATTATGAGAACAGTACTAGACTTAGGAAACCAGATACTGTTAGTACTAATGTTTAGGCTGTCTATGGGATTTTGTCAAACAACAACAAATATGTAAGTAAATTAACTATCAGTCATTTGACTGCTTAAAAGGTTACTGAAGTGCATTTAAGCACTAATGTAAATATTACCTGCTCTATGAATTGCTATTTATTGTTCCTTATGTGGGGAAAAGCTGCCACTCAAGCCTCAGTAAAGAAAGACAGGGACTTTTATTATATTTACCTTGGTTACCACCACCAACAGCTAGAACTGTAAATACCCCCTCCCCCACATATTAAATGTGGTTTTCTTCCAATTTAGATTCATTCTATGGGTTAAATAGCCTTTCACCCTCTTCTTATTTCAGATGTACATATATAAATAAATATATATATCTGTTGTCACAAAAACCTTGTTACTCAGCCAAATCTGACCCTGCATCGTTACACGTTGTTTTCAAGATTTTAATTCCACATTGGCATCATTAAGCTAAGGGAAAACCAGTCATGTTTGGGTTCCATCAAAGAATCCAGTTAATTTATACGTCATTCCACACTCTCATACATCTTATCTGGTTACTATTTTGTTAAAGACCATTTTATGGTACAGATCAGTAGCTATGAATATCAGTTGTTGTCGATGAAAATTTTCTCTGTTCTGTAACTAGTGAAGCTTGTATTAGTGATATTGTGCATGCTACTCACATTTCAAAGAGCTATTGTCGACTCTGTGCTGCCGGTTATCTTATGTGCTTTTACCCTTTACCTATTATAATTTAATGACAATTGTAGTATTATTGCTGAATATACATTTTAATATTTTACCAATGGTCACATTTTAACAAAGAGATAAACACCTTTTTTTTTGTTTCTTCATAGTGCCAATGTTGAGAGTGAAACTTCAAAAGTGGCAAAGTAATTTAGTTCCTATAATAATCCTCCTCTTGAGGCTTTTTTTTTTATGTCCAAACAGTTATATTTGATTTAGTACAGTTTTAACATGTGACTATTATAATCTGTTCTTGCCACAGTGGACAGGCCAAATGAAAGTTTTGATTCTATCAGTGTTTGTGGCTCTCGTTTCCCACATGCAGATAGTGCAGATGTATTCACCGTTAAGTAAATGCATTGTCCAAAAAGTGATAGTTTGTGTTTTTATTTACTTATTGTTTTACTATTCTTCACATAAACAATCAAAACTTTGAAATATGAACAAGTCCATGAAATTTGTTCATTAAAATGACACAAATCGTCAAAAATTTAGTTTTTTAACGCAATGAACTGTTTGTTCTCTGCCCGCCGCGGGTATCGAAACCCGAATTTTACCGTTATAAGCCGAATGACTTACCACCAAGCCACCAGGGGGCGTATTTTCATGTAATATTTCACATTTACCGATATTACTCAAGTTTTCAACCTACAGGATATTCTAACATACATATTTATCTTAGAAGATAGTCTGATTAATTTCTTCTAACAACAATTAGCTCTGACTTTAAATACATTTGCATAACTTTAAGAAAAAATCAGGTCTAATATTAATGCTGATATACATCAGGGGGCGTATTTTCATGTAATATTTCACATTTTCTTGTCAGAGTAAATACTCATGATTTATAGTTTAGGTTGGAGCGATATTATCATGAATAAACCTGGTTAAGGTTATAGAAGAGAGTTTAAACTAGGATATTTATTACTAGTAATCATATTCTTTTTAGATATCTAAACATTTTAGTTTTAATAATAATAATAAAATGATCAAATGGCTACGGAAAAAATCCAGGTGAATTTTAGCTTAAAGAAAACGCCTCCTAGTGCCGCTCAGCGGTAAATTTTAAACTTGCTTAACTTCTTTGAGCCCAGCATGGCCAGGTGGTTAGGAAACTCGACTCGCAATCTGCGGGTCGCGGGTTCGAATCTCCGTCCCACCAAACGTGTGGGGCGTTATAACGTGACGATCAATCCCACTATTTGTTGGTAAAAGAGTAGCCCAAGAGTTGGCGGTGGGTGGG